TTTGCCCTGAGCAAAGGTCATTAGCATAATGCTGACACGCAATGCAAAAGGCCAAAGAGAGGTTGATTTTTGAATAAGTAGGGACATGCCAGCCAAATTTCATCAAAAAATGTTTGTTGGCTGCAAAACAAAACAAGAAAAAGGAAAATTTCTAGAAGTTAGAATCTATTCATGAAAATGTCTTCATGAGATTAAAGTATGTGAAAGAGAAGAACTCATCAGAAGTCGCCTCGTGATCGCAAACATAGAATTGCTGACAATCACAATCCTAACCTTCAAAAATGAGCCACATGCTGCTTCACCGCATCCCCGAAAGACAACGACTTGCAATCGGCTGCCGTGTCGCATCGCGCCCTGCTAGATTCCCATTCGGATAAGCCTGAGTGACAACATTGCTATTAAATTGTCTTCCAAGGGCTAACGCTGTAAAGTGTGCTACTTCTTTCGGGGGGTGGGGGGGTTAACTAAACTGCTCAATGTCAACACGCTGCCCCCCCATCACATGTTGACTGGCCGCCACGGCACGTCCCCCGGGCCCTGCTTAGCATTCCGGCGCGGGTGTTTCCTAAAGGTTAGCAAACCTAATTAGACATTTATGCGGGATGTTCAAAGGTCTCTTCCTTATTAATGATGTGCAACTTGGCCGACGCGCCATCCATGACGCCGACACGCCTCGCAAGGAGGCGCATACACAATGCATCCGGGTGGCCGCCACTGCTGGACGCGCAGGTAATATCACTGGCCCGTGCAATGGAGAGAGGTTCATTTGCGGGAAATAACAACGGCCAACAGCAAATCTTAATCACAGACAGCGTTGTGTTGTCCTTTGACATATTTCTAGCGCTGATTTCAAAAATGTCAACTTTTTCACGTTTTGGAGATTTTTTTTTTTTTTTTTGCTTTTGATGTTTTACTGCAATGCGGATTTTACTATTCATTCTCATTTATAGCTATGACGTTTAAAAAAACATGATAAAAATTCTACTTGTTGCTGAACCTAACCCTTCATTATTCATATGACGAAATACATTACTCTATGACGTTTTTTTAAATGATTGTCTCGTCACTTTTGTCTCGTTCGGAAGTACTTGAGCAGCAAAAACACACAATCTTTCCGAGGCGGTTTTTCCCTGATGAACTCAACTTGATTTAATGAAGTTATCTTGCATTGAGGCCGCTGTGTTTACAGCGAGTGCTCTCTGCGCTATGTAAATATATTTGACAAGACACAATGCACCCCCGCCCCCCACCCAACCCCGTCCAAATAAAATTCAATTTCCATTTATTACTACCATTCGGACTTGAATCAATTATGTATGACAGCTAATTAGTGGTGCGCGGCGGCGGCGGCCATCGCTCTCTCTCTGTAGTGTCAAAGTCGACTAAATCAAGCCCATGTCACCCGCTGTGGACACGGAGAAAATAAAAAACCTAACTTTTTTCCCCCCCGTTCTGCAGATTAGAGGAAGGAGAGTTGACTAATCATCCAGGAGTGTGTGCGTGTGCGAGTGTGTGCTTCTAATAAGGCAAGAGAAAATGAAGAGGAGCGAAAGTGTGTGCAAGTCATTTCTCATTCCGGTAGCAGAAGGAGGAAGTTGTCAGCTTCGTTTTTATACTTTTTGTTGAAGGATGATGCAAACAACAAAGCGTGAGTGACAAACAGCGAGCGAGCGAGCAAGCAACGGGGAGCGCGTCGGCCCACTGGAGCTTTCCAATGACCTTTTTTGACGGATGTACTACGCCGGCATCAATCCTTCAGTGGCGGCTGGCGCGCACTGAGAGTAATGTCCTCTTTATCAATGACACGTTTGACACTGCACCCCCCCCACCCCCACCCCGAGGCCACTGCCATCATGTAATAACGCGTTCATACAACGGCAACGCAAGCAAAGATTAATAAGACATTACCTCGAGAGCATGCGAATGGACTTGGACTGAGAAGGATAGAAGACAGAGGCACCGTCGGGAGGTGGTAAGAAGACCACGAGATGGTCCAAGAATGACAGGATGATGAAATGACAGCTGTCTTCCCCCCCCCTCCAGTGAACCCCGTGGCACAGGAAGCCCGAAGCTGTTCTTACAAGCTCATGATTATAATACCGCAGCATCACCAAGGCGAAAATGTTGACATAATTGGGAGAAGCACCTTTGCCGAAAATTAGGCACGGAGTTGTGCGGTCGATCTCGGAGGACATCATTACAGCCGCTATCAAGAAATGTTGGGAGATCAGGAACCAGCGCTTGAATATTGATGATTGCGATAAGCAGGCCGAACTCGCCGTCCTGCCTCTGGTCATGCGATTGCGGCTCGCGAGTAGAAGTTAAAGAATCGATATGTGATAGAAGCTTGCCGTCCACTCCCACACAGGTCGTCATTTGACTCCAGCACTCATTTTACAGCTCTGAAATCACTTGTTTTTTGTTTTGTTTTTTTCCTCATCAAGTCATGACAAACTTGTCGTGTCGGCGAGCCGTACACAAACTTTATTATGCCATGCACACCCTCGAGTGTCCCAATCTGATATCAATCCGATATCAGTCCGATATCAGTCAAATAAACAGTATCGGATTATAACAGTCTACATCCAAAATCTTCGATATTCTTAGAGGACCTTAATTTATTTTGTATTTATTTTCTTCGAGGGCATTATATTCTTATGTCTGAGGTCGAATTCATGCAACCCAAATAATTGACATAAATGGGTCATTTTTTTCATTCTATTGTTGCTGACTTTCTTTGTTTGAATAGTTTCACTTGATCTTTTAACATTTCATACCCAGAAAATAAATGAATAAAAGCATGTATCATTCTGACTGCTGTCGTACGGGATTGATATCGGTATCGGACAGGACTCTTGGCTCAAGTATTGGTATCGCACCGGGAAGTTAAAAAATTGTTTTGGGACAAGCTGGAAATGCATTTTCTTTTTTTTTTTAAACATTTGAATGCCCATGGGCCTTTTGGGTGGTTGTTACATCCCTGGCATCATTACACCATCCAACAGCGATTTAAAAATCAGTGGCTAGTCATTCAAACTGAACCTCACACCCCGTACGGGAGTTGAAGTTGGGTTCTGCCGTAACGCTTAGTGTGCGGCGGGCTTCACGGGTGCAAGTTTCTGGGATGCGCAAAAACATATTCGGAACATAGCGCCCTCTTGGAAATGATTACAACTGCCCTATTTGTCATCCACACAAACCATTTCACGTCAGTCAAGATTCTCACCATTTTCCTCGACACATACTAGTCAATCTTTGAGTGGATCCAGATGAAATATGACTCCCAACAACTTCATTGGTCAGGTACTTTACGGTATCTGTAGAACAAAATGACATTTCAATATTTTCAGTTTCGTCTCATTTGGGCCACTGTAGAAAAGGTCACCAAATTTCAGGGTGAAAGAATGACTTTGGAATATTCTATCGTCAAACGTCAAAGTCGGTCCAAGTGTAGGTATGTCAAGCTTAAAGAGGGGGGGGGGGGAGTTTTCCATCTCAAAATGAATCTCTTGGATCTTTGTGCCACGATGGAGGCTGCCGTAATAGCTACAATTACACAAAGAAAAGGGCCAGCGAGTTGAAATTAGCCGCGGTATTCACGCGGGGGCCGAGGCTTTCAAAGGACAACAGGAGCCGAATGACTTTTGAACACGACGCAACGATTGGAGGAGGACTCAAAGAAAAGCGGCATGGCCGAAATCAATAGCCTTTGTGTCAGTCATTGGCCGCCTTGAAAGCCCCCCACCCCCTTTCAGGTGAACCCCTGCGTCTTCAAGGGGCCACTTTGAGGAATCGTTGAATCTAAAAGGCCAAGAGTACAAAAAAAAAAAAAAAACTAAAAAACCCTGCGAACGAACATCGCTGGCGGACTGGATCAGCTGAGTCGAGCACTTGGCGCACAAAAAGGCCCAGCAAGGGAAGAAGATCGACATCTTTTTTGACACTTCACTTCATCAGGCACAACTCGGCGTCTGACCTTCAGCCCAATTAGCGAGCCTGAAGGGGGCGGGGACGCTACTGCTATGCAATTACCCCGCGAGCTGACACCCACGCCGCTAAAGCTCATCACTACGCTTTTTTTTTCTCTCTTGATACATTTCAAATGGGGAACTTTTGCTCATGTAAAATGTGCCGCTGATTGGCTGTGACGGCACGAATTGATGCTGACTCACTGGCAGGCTTGATATGATGCAGCACGATGCATATTTATCACGTGAAAGCCTTTCAGGATATATGATCTTTATTTAGAAAAATACATTGCTGCACACACCCTCGCTTTATGATGAGCATTCACACCCCCCGTAAATAATAATCCATTGTAAATTGCATCGTGAAATGAAAATTACAGGTCAGTAATACTGTATGTAGGTCTTTTACATGGGCAGAATAATACAGTAGCAAGAAGCAACTTATGAAAGCATAAACCGATGACAATAAAATATGAAAAATAATTTCTTTTGACTTTTTTGTTTTTTTGGGTAAAGCTTTTTTTGTCCAACCGGTCAATCGCGGTCACCGTGGACTACCGGTGCAGGGGGAAATTAATCGATTTATATTAATTAGATATTATAATTATGTCTAAATATATATTGATACATATTATATATGGTTATCGCACTTTGTGCCTCTTTTTCAGGCTTTTGTTGAGAAGAAGTACAGCGGGACGATCGTACAAAGCCCGACAGCCGCGTGCTAATCAAAAGCCTGCAAAACGGAGGCGCGGAGTGGGAGCATGACGGCAGTGTGCTCCACAAAAGTCTGAAAAAGAGACACAAAGCAAGAACATAACACCAAGGCCCGAAAAAGAAACACAGAGCAAGAATAAGAGAAGCCCCACACCTCAAAAAGTCAAGCACAGAGTGAAATATAAAAAAAGTGTGACAACAGTGACCCTGAAGGAGAAGCACGGCGTGAGAGAAGTGAACCATTTAAGAGCCGAACAGCACCGCAATTGTCAGTGAGTGAGCATGACTGTCTCACGCTTGTTTTTCTTTTCACACCTGGGATTGGGCTCCTCAAAAGACTGTGTCATCCTCCACTCCGCCGTACCAGGGCGACAGTCTGGCCCAGGGAGATCTGGGAGTCGAGGCCGGACTCTCCAAACCGCACGACTCGAGCGAGCTGAGCGAGCCGGCCGAGGATCCCGAGCCTTCGTACGCGTATGCCGTCAGGCAGTCAAAAGGCGGGGCGCACGGGTCCCCGTCGGCCTCGTCCAGCCGGTCCAGGATGAACTGCCTGAAGACGTCGTCCTCGGGCCCCACGAGGTGAGACTCTCGCAGGGACATGCGGATGCTGGCCCGGACCTCGTCCCGAGCCAGCCGCTTCTGGCGCCTCCTGGAGTGCGGGCGCAGCGGGACCACCGGGAGGCCCGCGTCCAGGCCCGGCCCACCGCTCTGGGCGTAGTACAACACCTTCTGCGACACGGTGTCGGGCAGTTCCAGCTCACTGGCCTTCTTCTGCGCCGCCTTTTGCTTGCGTCTGTGCCGCCAAAGTAGCAGCGTGAGGACTGACGATACTGCAGAAAACAAAATGGCAGCGTTACATCTTGAGGCAAAGAATAAATAAATTTTTTAAAAATCAGTCGGAGTTTGTCAGGTGCGACATGGACACAATCCTCATCTTTTTGGCTCTTAACATCACTACAATTGTTGTGAAAGGACACAAAGTTGGCCTTGACTGATTTAACTGATTTGGATGTGAATACAGTACACTCAAAATGAAGCTGAAAGTCTCGCTGCTTGCATATCATATCCATTGCAATTGTGTCCATAGGCCTGACTGCAAGTTTTTAGTTCATTATGGGTGGGAACACGCATTAACGTAAGCATTTCACATGACATTTTACTTTTCCTATAACTATAAATTGTGAGAAATAGAGGGTGAGTAGTAGGCGGTGTAGTGGGCTCCAATATGGAAAGACGATACCCAGCTTAAGGTGTACCTTTGTCATCTCAAATCAGACACTAGTAGTTCCACTTACGGTCTGAGAGTATGCAATTAACAACTAGGAAACTAATATGCTTCACAATTAACACTACTTGGCCCAATAAGTAAAGATTGTGTCACGCACTAGTAGCTTCTTATCAAGGTTATGGAATAAATGTTCAAAGGACTTCCGAGAAAAGCCACTTGAGTGTTTATTACGATCTCCACACCCAACGCGTCTGTGCATGCCTTTTGGCAGCTTGCTCCCCTCAAGATCTTTCCGCAAACTTGGAAGCATACTGAGATGCTAGCTGCTAAGTCAAAGAATGATCGAGCTCTCGTCGTACCCCTGATCGATTCATGATTGAAGAGGTGTGTCCCAATACTTTTGTCCACGCAGTGTTTGCGCCCAAGCAAGGGGACCAAACAAAAGGTGCACCTTCGAGGGAGAAAAGCCATTGAACCCTAGGAGTGTTGCATTGATAGGATGCATCAGCAGTTGTTTTTCCCTTTTCTTTCTTTTTTTTTTTCTTCTTCCTGCAGCCATCCTCTCATCTGTCAGGGGTGTTAGCATAGCGGGCATCGCCATTAATCTTTCATAGCGTGGGCGCGGGGACCACACCAAGCCGCAGAGGTCATAATGAAGCTCTTCACTATGCCGGAGATGTCGGCGTCCCGTGATGATGGAGCCCAGCCGCAATGCATCACGCCACCGTCGGATTTCGACACGGCGAGAGCGCGAGTTCACATTGCGACTGGCCATTCAAAGGCTGTCTCTTAGTGGGACGTTCCCGCTTTTTAGGGAGACGTTTGTGTACTTGCCGTTGCGGGCGGGGATGCTCTAGTTCAGCGGATCTGCTGGGAAAGAAAAGGAATAAATCCAGACTTTTTTTTTTTTTAGGCGGGGGGAATCTATGGAGCGAGAGACTTGACATGGCCAAAAATGCTTTGAAGAGTGGCAACAAAACAAAATTGAATTTAGTCAGTGACCAAGCTCTTGAACTCAACTTACACTATTTGCGGGGGAGTGGAACCAACTGCGAATAGTGAAATGCTGCAAGTAATTGATGAGAAGAAGAGAAGGATTGAGTCCTCCCAAAAAGTGAAAAAAAAAAAAAGCATGGTATTGGGTAAAAAAAAAAAAGGGGTATCTTTTTCAGGCTTTTGTGTGGGATATTATAAGGTAATTAATTCCAGGCTTTATTGTGTCATTGAACACTGTTTTCATACTCTCCCTCCACTCAATCTGTGCTTCTTTTACAAACTTCCGTGTGGCACACGCAACTGGATAGATTTGTCGAACTCACTGTGGTTCTTTTTCAAGCTGCAGATTGTTGAACATTGTCATGTCACGCTTCTTCGTGCTTCTTTTTCGACTGACACCGCGATGCCGATCTGTCGCGAGCTCACCTGCGGCCAAGAGCAGGCACACGAGAAGCGTGACGAAGGTCTGCAGGCTGACCCCCATGGATAGAGCCAGGGCCTCCACTCCCCCGGAGGGACAGTGGCCGGCGGGCTGGCAGCTGCACACGCTGATGGTCAGCGTAGCGGTACTGGACAAGGCGGGCGAGCCGCTGTCGGTCACCACCACGGGCAGGAGGTAGCGTCCCCGGTCCCTGCGGGTGAAAGTGCTCCTGCGTGCCACGATGCCCGCCGTGTTGTCTGCAGGTGAGGAGGAGGAGGAGAAGGAAGACGAGGAGGGGATACTTCTCAGTCAACATGCTTGAAAAAAACATGTGAGTGCTGATAT